TAGAAACGAAAACCCCCGAACTTTTGAGAAAGGCATTGAAAAAACCTGGATAGAGATGGTTGCCCTTCACCACTCAGGTTCGCATTCCTCGTCCTCGCCCAGGCCAGCCCTCACAATCGCAGCGGACCCTAAACCCTAAACCCTAAACCCTAAACCCTAAACCCTAAACCCTAAACCCTAAACCCTAAACCCTAAACCCTAAACCCTAAACCCTAAACCCCAAGCCCTAAACCCCAAGCCCTAAACCCTAAACCCCTAAACCCTAAACCCCTAAACCCTAAACCCTAAACTTCACTGACCCGCTTGTGCGTAAATGGAGGCACAGCACTGGTGCGGGCTGTGATCCCACGCGCTTTGCTTCATCCTGCCGGGGCCTGGAGCGAGCTGGACGACGGCATGTACCTCTTCGGCGGCATGGATAACTCGACAGTGCCGGCTTATAGGTGTGCAGTACCCTAAACACCCAAACCCTAAACCCTAGACCCTAAACTCCTTATGGGGTGATTTAGGGGGTGTTCAGCGGAGTGGGTCTATGTGATTATGTGGGTCTAGCAGTGGCTGGGTCTGAGGCAACAAGAACATGACCATCGACTTGCTCTTTACTTGCTCTTTACTTGCTCTTTTACAGCCGGCAGGCTCTGCTTATTCTGCTTGAAGTTGGGGGGTTCATAGAGCAGTCGAACTCTTTCGCAATTCAGCTCAAATAGACTCTGTATACTTTGTGGTTGCCGTTTCAACGGAGAGCTTAGTGCAGAGAGCAAAGGGGAGAGAGAGCCTCGGCCTCTGCCCTCCCCCGCGAGAACAACACTTGAGAAAGCCTCGACGTGAGCGGCACGCCCCCACCCGGTCGGCGACACCACACAGCGGTCTGGAGCAACTTTTCCGATGGCATGTATCTGGCACTCTTTCCCATATTTTGGGGGGAGGGTTCAAGGTTCCCTTCATCAAGTATCCAACCCGAACAAGGGCACCCGGGCCACTAAGGTATGTTTACGGTGCCATCTTTGGCTGGTGACATCCAGACACCGGTGTCGGCCTTGGGTTTCTTTTTTGAAAGGCACAAAAAAACTCAGCGCGCGCATGCCCAAACCCGAACCCCAAAAGCCCCTCACCCCTCACTTCAAGCCCCAAACCCTAAACCCAGCGCTTGGAGCACCTGTCGGAAGCTCTCTGCTTTTTCAATCTTTGGCTTTGGCATTTGGGGGGTTTGAGGCTGGTTGAAAGCAGGGTTGGGGGGAGGGGTGATGCGCTTGGAGTGGTAGCCTTGGGCTCAAACTTTTTGGTTGGGGTTTCGGGGGCCTAGTGTCCATTCGTGTCGGCGGGATATCGCACGTGTTTGGCAACCTCCGAGTTGTGGAGGCTTCTCTTATGCCTTCTTCTTTCTTAGCTGAGTTCTTCTCATTGACAGATCTTGCTCTGTGGTCTCAGTACGCCTGGGGTGAAAGTTGCACAAAATGTCACAACAAAGGCGCCCCAAGAAGAGTTCCCTACCTCAAACAGCCTATGAAGCTGCTCGGCTCGAAGAGGCTTGGGCGCACAGCTGGGCAACGGACCAGGTCGGATTGCACGAACTAACAAGCCCCCCTGCTGGGATGATTCTCAAGCTGTGGTTGCGAAATCTCTCATCACAGAAGACTGGAGTCAGAATTGTGCTGCCCAGGCGCCTTCTGCGCTACGTGGAGAAGGCTGTGAGTCATGGCCTGAGGCCAGGAGTTGGGTTTGCCATCTTCCCCTGTGCTGTGGGGGTTGCCCTCCTCCTAGTCATTACTCGCCTGATCACGTTTTCCATGGCGCATCCACTGTGGAAGCTGAAGAAATTGTACAAATCCAGCCGGAGGAACACCGTGGATGTCGATGCATGAGAATTCGTGCTTCAGTGCCGCCGGAGGCCGCAAGTGCTCCTTGGCACACCGGAGCAAACGCGTACCGAATGGGAATGGCCCCTTCAGGCACGCGGGGATGGGAACGCATGGACGCCACCCGCAAGCAGCCAGCCGTTGACTCGCAGCCCTGCCTGCGGAAGTCACTCGCAGCAGCTTTCGGGGCTTTGCACGAAAAACTGCAGGAGCTCGGATCGCGTAGGGAGCGCGGGGGGGGGGGGGGGGGGGTTGGGGGGACACGGGGATTGGTCTATGTGGGGTCTTGATCGTTGTGTGTTGCTGTGTCTGCTTCGTTTGCTACTTACTTTTCAGGGCAATGTATCCTACTTGTTGTCCCAAATTGTACATGTGCATCGCTAGCTCATCCCTAGTGCAGGCTTGCGCGTCTGCTTGATCTCGTTGCTTGTCTGGAAGTCTGGGATAGGGCTGCCTGATTGGAGGCTGTGATTTTGAGACAATGCGAGTTTTTTGAATGCTTACAGACGATGGTCCGGGTTTGGATGGTCTGAACAGTCTAAGCAGGCTCCCATAGCTCCTCGAATGTATCGGACCTTGGAACAGTCGAACGCCGAACCGGGGCTGATGGTTCCAGATGATGATGCCTTGCCATGTGCAGGTTCGCCTTGGCAAAAACTCAACAAGGGCAACGTGGAAGGAAACGGGAAGAGAGCCACAGGCCAGGCCATACACCAACCCGCAGTTCCACCAAGACAAGAACTCAAACACCTTCACCAAGGGTTTGACTCCAAGCAGCCTTTACATTGTTTCACATATCTTGAACCGTACCGGAGCTGAAAACACAAGAAGCAGAAAAACGAAGCCAGGTGAGGTAGGGGTGCACAGCCATGGGGACGCGCTGCGCTTGTTTTTCGATGCCAGCTCAGTTGAGATTCACAAAGGTTCTCCATGTTCCCGCCCGCTTCGCAGCCTTTTCGGCTACATTGACATATGGGAACTCCGTGGTGACTTTCGACTGCAGTTTTCCCTACAGTGTTTTTGGGGCTCGGTTTCTGGTGTGCAAGACCTTGCAGTGTGCAGCAAGAGCTTGGTTTTCGGATTTCGGAGTTCAGCGTTGCCGGAGTGTCTTAGATTTGCGCAACACTACGAAAGGCCAAGCAATGGTTTCATGTCAGAGGAGACGCACTTAAAGAAGCCGGCACTCCGTGTGTGTGTGTGTGTGTGTGTGTGTGTGTGTGTGTGTGTGTGTGTGTGTGTGTGTGTGTGTGTGTGTTTTCAAGCTACCAACCCATATATGATCCCGTCACCCCCGGGCCGCGCCCCCCCCTCTGGTGTCTAGGCGTGACCCCCGAAAACCCTGCAATAGCATTGTAAAACCCTAAGCCACACATGGTGTAACAAAGCACACCGCACCGCACCACACCACACCATGCAAACCACGGACGGGGAGCGGGGGCAGGGGGGAGGGGGTAGTTGGAGAGTGGCGCGGGCTTGGTTTGTTTTTGTTTGGGGGAGGGGCGGGGGAGAGTGGGGGAGTGTAAGTTTCAGGATTTTGAAGGTTTGGGCTTCGGTTGGTTTCGGGGGTGGGTCGTGAGTGGTCCTTGGGTTTCTGCCGGAAAAAAGATAGCGTCCTCCTTGCGAGCCCTACACCCAACTCTCTCAACCCTAAACTTTGGGCTTGTGTTCGCGTTTCAGACGCGACTGCTGCCAAACAGCGCACCTTTGTTGCCAGCGCCCGGGACATGTGTTCACACAAGAGAAAAAGAGAAGTCCAGTTTCCGACATCACGCCGCTGAACTGGGAGAAAACTGGGAGGAAACGGCCATGTTCGCACCCATTCACATGCCATGCTGGGAAATCACACGTCTGCTAGTGTTTGGGGCACATACGCAGCGCAATGGTGTTCCGTGTCACGTGCGGGAACGTGCCACCTATGGGTAGTCAAACCCGAAACCCTGAGGCCCTTAAACTAAACCCTCAAACCCTATGGTGTAGCATAGACCACACCACACCACAGAGTGGGGGGGTGGGGACCCACAAAACATGTGGCGGGTTTTTTGCGGGGCGGATACCCTGGGATGGGGAGGGGGGGGGGTGGCGGGGCGGGTTGCCTTGTGATCTATAATCCACTCCCCGGAATTCTAAGGCCCCCCTCCCCCGTAATTCTGGACCGCCGATTTAGGGCCAACTTGGGGAAAGAGTATCCAGAATTAGCGGGGAAAGTTTTTGGAAACCGGCATTTACGGACCTGAACCCTAAACCCAACCCCAACCCTAAACCCAAGACGCCTTGAGCTTTTGCGCTTCAAACCGGCATTTACGGACCTGAACCCTAACCCCAACCCAAGCCCTAAACCCAAGACGCCTTGAGCTCTTGCGCTTCAACCCTCAACCTCTGATCCCCCTCCCTAATTCTCAAGTAGGCTTGGATCCGGCGAAAGAGTATCCAAAATCAGGTGGGTTTAGAGGAAGAAGAGATTACCCCAAAGCAGCCCTGAACCCCAACCCCTGCCCGAAGCTCAGGAAGCACGGTAACCCAGATGGCCCCTCGTGGCAGACAAAGCGGTTTAGAGGTTTCGGATTCATCCAGAACCCTTCTGTAGGGGCCAGGGTGCTTGAGTTGAGGTTCAGGGCCGTGATTTCACTTCGGGTTTAGAAGGGATGGTTGAGTAGCTTTGGTTTCTGTTGCTGCTGCAGTCTGGCGACCCAGAAATAAGGGGCGGGGCGGAAAGGAAATAAGTACAGGCACCATCGCGGGCCCCGCGGGTTGTACAACTCTAGGGCTTGGGGGCTGGGTATACAGGGGTTGAGAATTTAGTGGTTTAGCATCGCACCGCATGTCTTCCGGAGCTGTGCTGACACCCGCGTACCCCAAAGCTTAAAACCCCAGGCTTCCAACAGCAAGGGGCCCATGTACTGTATCACTAGGAACCCTCTTCCCAAAAGGACCACCATGTAGAAAAAAAAAACATCTCCCCAACAGCGCCCGAGGCGGGCTTGGGTGGTCTCGAGGAGCTGCCGCACTCTGCCCCCCGACAGCTTTGGCTCTTTGCGTTGAAAAAAAGCTGAACTCGGGGCTTTGGGGGCTTTTCGGCCAGGTTTAGGGGCGTGTGCTTGGGGGGATCCTCGAGGGCGACGGTGGCTTGGGTTTTGGGGTGTAAAAATGGTTTGGATAGAGGAAACAAGGGGTGGCATCGAAGTCTTGCTCCCCGAACTCGGTGAGGTATCGAAGCCTTTCGCCCCAAGTGTGTCGGGGTCCCACAGAGGCAGGAAGGACTGTGTGAAGACGCTGAATTTGTTGATGCAGGGTTTAGGGCTTAGGGTGCAGTTTTTGCTCGTGCTGATGCGGCGGTCCGGTTTGTCAGTGGGAGTAGCTCCGCCGAATTTGGGACGGTTCAGTGACTTTGGGCTTGAAGCTGCCGGGGTCAATCTTGATCATTTCTCACGCGCGATTCGCGAATTCTGCGTCAAGAAAAGGGTCCGAAGCTTGTCCGTTGAGAAGTGCATCAGGGTAATCCAGGGGATGAAGGGTGGAGAAACATGTTTCAGCAGCGCGCGCGTCTGCACATGGACTTCGGGTGAGCCGTGCAGTACCCGGCTTCGCTGCCCTTGTCCGCCCCTATGCTCTAGAGGCCGCACCGGCTCGCATATACAGCAGACCTACAGCCTGTGGCGCTCGGTGTGCTTTCGTCCATGCCATAGATGCCATAGAATGGCCGCCGGACTTTCTTTCTTTTAACCCCGAGCCTCAGGAGGTGCCCCAATAACCCGCAGCTTCAACCCCCCCAGCCCCTTAGAAGACTGTAGTGTGGGACTCCGTGTGGGACTCCTGACATATGCCCCAGAGGATCCCAGAGGTTTACCACCTCAGTTTGAGCAGGGGCCCTGACATGGTTTAAGGGTGACGGTTTTAGCTTCCCGTCAACGTTCGCAGTAATGAGATTAGTGTTCGCCTCCGCTTTGTGACAATATTGTGTCTCACTTCCCATCGGCTGTTTCATGTGAAGGCGCCACACCCCCAAAGTCTGAGAGCTGCATATTGATGTGCTGGAAACTGGCAGGTCCTGACAACCTGCTGCTCCACCGCCCCGAGCACCGAGTCTCTTGGCATGGAATCGAGGTTTCTGAGCCTGTACCATGAAAAGAAGTGCTAAGCACTAGGAAGCCATTGGGAAGCAGGTTCCCAAACAAGCAGAACCACACACAAACTAAGATTCGCACTCGGGCTTTTCTGTTTCCGACAAGAACCATTTTCACACTAGTTTAAGAGTACATCAATGTACATCAGCAAGCAACGAATGAAGCAAAACATCTTGCAGACAAGTTTGCAAGGTTAACCATAGTAAGTAAATAGGAAAAGCACGAAAACTAGCTCTCGGATTCGACCCCTTATCAGGTCCTAAATCCATAGAGAAGGTGGGGGGTGGGGGGGAGGGGGGCCAGCCACACCCCTGCTCGCGTGATCGAGCAGAGGGGGGGGGGCCACCCTATGGTCCCCCCCCTTAAGGCCGGCATGCGCGCAGAGGCATCTGTTCGAAATCGGCAATGAAAACCTTGACACGGCTTTGTGGTCCCCGCTTCTGCAGGGTGTGTGCGCGCGGAGGTGTCGAAGGGGCATCTTGCTCACAACGGGTAACGAGTCATGTTATGCATGTAATACATGTAATGCATGTTGGTCCGCAGGCCACTTGAGACAACGGTCCCGTTCACACATCGGCTTCATCAGCATCATCCTCACCACCCTCCCGGCGATGAAAACTTTGACACGGCTCAGCCAGCTGAAGACATCCCGAGCTCATCCCATACCCCGCCTCTGGCCTGCGAGTTTTTTCTCCCAGACCTGCCCCATGTTCTGCCTCTAGCTTTCGTGGGCCTCTTCTCAAGTTTGTATTAGGCAAAGTATCCTTGTAGACAACAGTCGTTACCCAAAAATGGACCTTACAGGTCCCAGCCACAGAGGTATTATTTATAAGTATATATATATATATATATATCTGTGTACTGTGTATATATACAGAGATATATATATATATATGGATACATATATATATATATATATTTTTTTTTTTTTGTATATCTGGTAGTTTTTCTCACACAAGGCAGGACAATTGGCAGTCGCTCCCAGACCTTCGCCCCGCACTGCGCCTCCAGGTTCCTGCGACGCCGATCCAGGCGCAGTTTGCAACAGGGTTTCGGGTTTGGGGTTTGGGGTTTGGGGTTTGGTTTGGGTTTAGGGTTTGGGGTTTGGGGTTTGGGGTTTAGGGTTTAGGGTTTGTAAGTTCTAGTCGGTCAACTCATGAGGCTTGACTTAGCTTAAGCGATACCAGTAGAGGGCACTAGAACAGTGAGAATTATGGCAAGCGCACCATGCAGTCGACAGCTTTCTCCGCACACTGGAAATGATGAGCAAGACTGCAAAGCAAGACAAATCGATGGGGATGCGCAAGCTGCACAGCTAGGGCGATGCAAATCGAAATCTGCCGCAGTCTGCCACGTGTCAGGCGCACGTTGGACATAAGCTGCCAGGGCAGAGATTGATGCATCGGGCAGCCTCTCGCACTCCTGCGTTCGCACGTGCCCAATATGTTGAAGGGGCCATTGTCTTTCGAGGCCTGCCATCACAACGTTGTCCTGTGAGCGCGTATCCATTAACATTCACAACATCCCTCCTTCATTGATTCATCATGTCCATGTTACACATCGCACAGCAGTACGGCAGGTGCAGAAGCACCAGGACATGCGCGGCGTACTAGGATGATCGATGTCAAGTTGGTATAGAGTCGCTACATATCTTTGCTGCTCATAGCTTCGACATCCACCAAAACCGAAACCCCCAACCCCCCAACCCCCCCAATTCGCATCAGGGCTCCGCAGTTCGCGGCTTGAGGGTGGCGGCCGCCCCAGCAGGCTCCGGGGTGCAGGCGCAAAGCTGCAAGGGCGTTCAGGGTTTGCAGTGCAGGCACATGCCTTCAGCCGCTCGGGTGGCTGCTGGGTCATTGCCTGGGGCGCCTCGCAGGCCAAAGTACAAGATCATGTCGATATCTGTTTTTTGAGCCCTGGATGTTGTTCGTGTAGGAACTGCGAACTCTATGCTTAAGAAGTCCATGATGAACCCTACACTTGCCTTTTCCTTCTCGCCCAGGTGCTTATGTGATCCGCGATGACACATAGAGCACTGTGGAGCTGCTCAGGTGGTGTTATAAGTAGCGGCACGGACCACTCGAACCTTTGAGCGCGCGCACACACAGAGACACACACGCAAACGCACACACAGACACACAGAAGCGCGCACACACACACACACACATCCCAGCACTACTAGTGCTAAAGTCTCACCACAGCTCCGCAGAATGATCGGCATGAGTCAGAATCAGATGACTCTTGAAGCAAATGTTTCAGTGGTGGGGACATGTCTCGCCTGAAATGGGGTAGGCAAATGAGTCAAAAGAAGCAGATGCTGTGCGGAGGGCATGGAGCGCCTGCGACATGAAGTTGGTTGAAATTCTGGTGTCTTTGGCTCTTTGAAGACAGAGTGGAGTTACAGACTGAACAGGGCGTTCTTGTCAGAATGTTCGTTAACCTGTGTCACCGTTCACCGGCTACAACAGGAAAATGAAGAGCTTGATCGTTTTTCAAACAAATAGGTCGAACTACATGCAACACGGAAAGTTGACCTTTTTTTGTGGCAAGGCAAATCGTTGCCGGGAAGCTTTTTAGGAAGTTAACCGAAACTGCGTTTCCTTGGGGCGAAGAGGTCGCCAAATGATCAACGCTGCAATGCAAGACGATATGCCGCAGGCAACGCACGGGCTTGTTGACAATGCCGACGCTGTGTCATGAGCCATTTCGGTTCTGCTGCGAGGTCCCACAGTGTGTGTCTGATGTTGTTGGTTCTCCTCCTAGGGATCACCGTAAACCCAGTCCATAAACCCTAAACCCTAAACCCTAAACCCTAAACCCTAAACCCTAAACCCTAAACCCTAAACCCTAAACCCTAAACCCTAAACCCTAAACCCTAAACCCTAAACCCTAAACCCTGATCCTCTGCGCTCATCGGGGCTTCATGTCTCCCCCAGTAAGACGGTCGACTTTTTCCCCGGGCCGCTGCAGCATCATGACGATCCAGGCCACCCTCTGCACACGTGGTTTTTGTTTTGTAGCGCTGCCGTGCGAATGTCGAGCGCAGAGTGCTGAAGCAGAGACGCATCACTGCACACTGCCCTGGGTTTAGAGGCTAGGACTTAGGGTTTAGGTCAGCGGTTGTGCAGAACCCGGAATCATCACCTCACGTGCGCATCGCGTATCATTGCCTTGCCAGGCCTGCTTCAGAGGCTGCTGGGGCCTCTGGGGCCTCCTTGACGGCCTGCTCGTTCGGAGCTCAGCAAACCCGAAGCCCCAATCTGTGGTCCTTCCCAAGTCCTTCCCAAGTCTGCTGCCACAAGGAGGGCCGCAAAGAAGCCTACCAGCGCAAGCTGAAGGCCCGAGAAAGGGGTTTGGAGTTTGGGCATATTTGGGCGTTTGACGTTTGCAAATCGTGCCAAGTCAGCATGCAGGCACGCCGTCGGGTGGCCGACTCAGCCATGTGCTTAGTCCAGTGTGGGAGCTAGCAACTGAGTGCGTTCAGCGAGCGATTGAGCGAGAGAGTGAGTGCGCGAGCGAGTGTGTGAGTGAGTGAAGCCAGTGAGGGAGCGAGGGCGTGAGTGAGTGAGTGCTCGTTGAGTGCGTTCATCGAATCATCGAGTGGCTGCAGCTGCGCAAGCGGCGCGCAGTGAGGGAGCAGGTGGCTGAGCGAGTGCGCTGGGCAGGGAAGTACGTTTGAGCACGGTACGTGCATGCGATAGTGCACGCAGGGTGGAGTGCGTGGAGCCATTGTGCATTGAGGGCCCCGCTTCTACTACACAAGAGGGACGGGGGAGGGTTGGCCCCGAGGGCCACCTTCGGTCTTTCCAGCGATGGCAGAACAAAGAAGAGGATGGACGTAAATATTTCCCCCTGTGGTATTCCTCACGTGCAACAGCAAAAGATGCAATCTCCCAAGGAGTATTGTTCTGCAAGTCTTTGAAAACACGGCGTTACCAAGAAGCGAAGTCAACGCGTGAGATTCATCGAAAATCATGCCGGGTGTTGGAGTGCTGGTTCTCGAGGCACGAACCTACAAGTCGATGGTGCAGGTTGGCCAAGTCGTTGGCCAAGTTTGTGTTTTTGGTCCTTTGCGCTCGCGAAGTTTCGAGGCAGAGTCGGTGATCTGGCCGGGCATTTCAGGGACGAAGCACCCATTAAGGGCAGTGATTCAGGCTACGCCCCGGACAACAAAAACTCCTAAACCCTAAGCCCTACACCCTAAACCCTAAACAACCCTAAACCCTAAACCGGATCAGTGCGAGGCTGGGGCAAGTCCCGAGGAGCGATTCAAGGAGCCTCGATTTCTTTGCCACAGCTCATAATTATTTTCAGACGTTTAGAAATGTTAGGGTTTAGGGTCTAGGGTCTAGGGTTTAGGGTTTAGGGTTCATTTCATGCTCTTACAAGGCTCTCAGGTGGTGTTGAGGGTGTAGGGAAGAGAGTTGACGGCAGGAAGCCCTGGTGCGCTACCACGAGCGCTACAACGCGACGCCGAACGCAGCTGCTCGCCTTCATCTATTGTAAGTTATGGGGTTTAGGGTTTAGGGTTTAGGGTTTAGGGTTTAGGGTTTAGGGTTTAGGGTTTAGGGTTTAGGGTTTAGGGTTAAGGGTTTAGGGACCAGATGCGGGAGAACAGTTGCGTATGTGGGGTTGAAAGCCCTGCCTTGGATGCGCGCTGCCTTGGATGCGTGCTGCCTTCCGTCTGCCGTTGCTGAGACGCAGCTGGCCACCTTCGCCAGAAACGTCGGCCTCCAGCTTCCCTTTGTGCTCGCACGCGACCTGCTCCGAGAGGTTCCTTGGCTTCAGCTTGGGCGCTTTCACGCCTGGCGGTTGCATTTTGGTGCATTTTGGCACCTCTGTTTTCAATTCACTTGCATCCACCGATTTGAAAAGGACAGGAAGTACGAAAATCATGCGATCGTGCTTTGCCCTAGAGTGTGCAGCAGTGCAGCATATCGTGTGGAGCAGGCGGCATCCACCTCGCCCAAGAAGGAGGAGAAGGCTTGATCCAACCACAAGATGGCAGTGAGGGTTCCTTCCAACTAATGCCAGGGCATGGGCCATGATTCCACTGAGTAGGCGTTGGGGTTCTGAGTCACTTGCTACAGCCAGGGGTCCGAAGCATGTGAAATTTGCGGTAGGTTCGAGGTGCTGGAGGCCTGCATCAAAGGGGAGCCTGCGGCATCGTCTTTCGAGACTACTCGGAAAGTGGAGCCCTAGACCCAGCTAACCTTCACACGTAATCCCCAGCCTCCGGCTTAAACACAGCACGGCCTCGAACTTCGAGAGCTTAGCCGCCTTAGCCCTAAACCCTTAAAGCCGAAACCCTATGGAACTGAAGCGCCGAGCCGCACAGGTCCAACTTTCCGAGCTCCGCGCCCAGCGAACAGCTCTGCAGGTCTGCGTCCCAGGAGATTCCAGGAGTCCAGCAGGTCGTTCTTGCAATGGAGCCAGGTGCGAATGGGCACCCTTCGCCAGGAGCTCTTTGCAATGCTTGCCCAGGACAGAGCTGTCAACTATCAACCTCCAAGTCTGCTGCCAGGTTGTCTCTGAGCCTGAGTGTTGCTTCTGACAGGAAGCCGAACTATGCCGTTTGCATGGCGAGGCCGACCGGATCGCGCAAGCTGGGTGCTGCTACTTGAGCACTGTAGGGATCTGTCGGGCATGAGGCTCCTTGGAGTCGTGCAGACGGGGTTCGAGTCTCGAGCATTTGGGGACACATGCCGTGACACTCAGCGGTACATTCTAGGTACCACTTCAGGCGCTTCCCCAAGCCTAGCGCACCCGAAGAATTTCACATGCACCCAAGTCTTGGCGATCTCAATATATTTCTGAAAAGACACGGCCCTTCATTCTCGAACCTGAAGCCCTAAACTGAATGCTTGAAGCCCCTTGGCTTGCACGAGGCCGAGGGCAACCAGCCTTCCAGCTCCAGCTGCTCAAGCTCCCAGTGCCCCAAGCCCAGTGTCTTAGGGCTTCTCAGGGCCTTCAAGCCCTTTTGGGGCTTAAAGCCGTTCTAGGGCTGGGGGCACGTGGTTGATTCCGGGATGTTGATGAGGGAGGGCTTGCAGGTGTTGTGGCTTTGGCCGCGTAGCCAAAGAAAGCGTCCGATGTAACAAAAAGCGCAGCCAACCGCTACGGCACAGGGCATCATGCTCCAAAACCTGAACGTGTGTAACCATTGTTTGATCGCCCGTTTCGCGCCTCGTTGCCCATCATCTGCGCAAGCCTGTGTACAGGCTGGAGTCTCGTGTCGGCCCTTTCTCCATAAAGGGGCTTTGAAGCAAAGCTTGCTCGAAGTGGGTCGTGCGCGCAGGCGTGATCCACGGAGCCGAAGAGGAAGAGGACAAGGAAGGGTACGTGCCAACCTCAGTGCACTGGACTTGCCCAGCAAGGGCATGGTTGAACCGAGCTACGTTCAGAGTTTCTGCGTTCTGCATGAGGGTTCGGGGTGCCGTCAGCATGGCCGTGCAGAGCGACCCAAGTACCCAGCGACTTGCATTTAAGGACTCAGTTTAGGGCTTAGGCTGGGGTTCTACCTTCACTAGAGGTTTTTGCGGTAGGTCTAGGCCGTCCTGCACGAGCGGCAGACCTATGCAGATACAAGACCACAATAGGCGACTGAATGGTTTTGAGGGAACCTGGGCTTCAAGTTCCGCGAGTTCAGGGTTTCGGAGTTTTTCGGGCTTCGCAGCGCAAAGCTACAGGACATCGAGCTTGCCTATGACTTGGGCCTGGATTCGTCCGCGCGGATGTCCGTGCCGCGTCCAGGAACCCAGCTTCGGGGGCCCAAGGCGTCGCAGAAAATGCTTAACTTTGTCCAGGGTTGAAGGTTTGGGGCTTTGGGCGGCCAGTGCGGCTAAATCCTAAAAGTAATCGTGTGCGTCGCGTGGTTACTTGTTTGCCTGCCCGCACTGGGGAAACCGCCGGACACCGATGGCGGAGCAAAGTGCAGCATGTATGTGGCTACCATACCACGACACACATGGCTGAATCCCGTCCTATTCTGGATTGCATTGCTGAGCGAGTGCA